CTTGTAGCGTCTCAGAGTTTTTTTGAACATGGCCGGAGACGCTACCGCGTCTCCTGATTTTATAATTTTAAATATTTGTGCATTTCACTTTTATATTCGGTTTAAATCAATGTATAACAGCTTTTATATGCACCAGTGCGCACATGTGCTGCCAATCGAATTCGCTAACAATTTTTCTTCATTATCTTGATATTATCTGCGAACGAGTCCAGCGTTATGTAACACATTGTAAATTTTTTCCTTTGGGATTTTGTCTGCTTCTCGTTCGATTACCTGTAACGTTAAACGGATTCTAAGAAAACTATCTGTTCGATTTTTATATACTTAATGTGTATAATTAAATATCTAACGCAAGTAGCCGTAATTATTTCTATATAGTATTAAAAAATAACGAATTTGTTAATTGTGATGTTAATAATGTATATATATAATCTGATAATTGTACTTATATTTCTGAAAAAATGTGTATAGTATGCTACAGCAATAACATAATACATAAAATAATGTATTATAATTTACAAGAAGAAGGAAGCACGAAGCAAAGCCAATAACGGTCAAAGCTGGATCACAAATGCTTATTAAAATTATGTGTGAATTTTATATACTGCGTATGTTATAGTCCCCCCAATTGCGTGCCGAAATTTTTTTCAGACTTACAACGCAACACTAAACAACTACCGCAGTAATATCACTTTAGTTAAATTGACAAGCAATCTAACAGTTTTTGATGCTTATTATAGCATTAATATGTCTTTCAACATATTATTAAGATTCAATAAGATGCTATAAGCATCAAAAACTATTAGATTGCTTGTCAATTTAACTAAAATGATATTGCGGTAGTTGTTTAGTGTTGCGTTGTAAGTCTGAAAAAAATTTTGGCACGCGATTGGGGGGTCTACATACGCAGTATATAAAATTCACACATAATTTTAATAAGCATTTGTAATCCAGCTTTGACCGTTATTGGCTTTGCTTCGTGCTTCCTTCTTCTTGTTTATTGTTGTTTATCAATTGTATAACAGTCTTAAAAAGATTCTAGTATTTATTATAATTTATGTAATTTGTATAGAATATTCAAAATTATTTTAAAAACCAAATGGTTAGATTAATAATAATAATAAAATGAGAAGAGAAATGTTGGAGAACGTTTATATATAATTAGGTAAATTATAAAAATTATATACCTGCATTTCCTTATCGATAAACCAGGATTCCTTAGCGAGACCAGCAGCGATACTTGGATCTTTATAGAAATCATTTCGTAATTGATAAGGTAAATTATCTTCCATCGCAGAATTAATTATAACAGCTGGATGGGCGAGCATTGTTTCAGGATTTAAGTAAAAAATTGGCGTAGCTGCGCAAGTTGTCACCATGATGAACAAGATAATATTTGTGTAATTAGTTGGCATTTGTGATGTTTTGATGCTTCCTTAAAAAATTTTTGAGCTGAACCTTTGAAAATAATTTACGCCTGATTGCCATGAATTTTGGTATAAATATTCTAAATGTTCTAAAAATGATGTAAATGGCCTTAAATAAACTTTCACATGAAAAAAGTTTAATGTCAAAAATGTTTAAATAAAGTTAATGGCTGCGTTCAGCAGAAAAAGTAGCTTTGCAACTCTCTGTCTATGGACGTTTAACTTTCTACACGAAGTAAGGTCTACTCCATTTCCCTTTTTGTATATTGGGGCGTATGATTTTCTAAACAAAGTGATCTGTATATATACATATATAACTTAATTTAAATATTTTTATATATTAAACTTTTCCAGTGGAAATCCATTCAAGAATATTTATTTGATATCATTTGGAATATTTTTATTAAAATTTATGGCAATCGAGCGTAGGACATTTTCGGAAATTTATTTAAAATTTATGTAACATAAAATTTTTAAGAAACAATTATCTAAAAAGAATTAAGTAGGAGTGTGTGCGGGTACCCGAAAAATTCGGATATCCCAACCTCAGGTCAAATCGGATAATGATCGGGTCGGTTCAGGCGGGTTCCAAATGTTCGGGTATCCGAATTTTGGAATAAAACTCTTGATTTGGGATCCTCTATTCGAGAATTCGGAACTTGATATTCGATCCGGGATAAAATTTTATTTAACTCACAATAAAATTTCATTAATATACTAACAATAATAAACTAAAATCATAACACAATTTTAATATATTGTAACATAAGGGCATATAACAGAGTATAGTTGCCGAAAAATTATCTCCACTCCTATTTTTTCTGACTTCTGCGGCGTATATATCGATCCTCGCGGAATGTATTTGTCAGAGTCACCCTATTTTAAATTGAAATGTAGAAAGCATAATTTTTCGACGTTTTCGTGGTTCAGCAACATTGAGTAATAACCGAAATCCGACATCACATTGACTATACATATTATAATGGTGTAAATCCAGTGTTACCATTAGTGCTATCGCTTCTCTCAGTTGTTTCGTTCGCGTTGAATTTGCTACTGTGTGACGGTTGTTCCATCATCGAACTTCTAATTATTCTTTCATTATGTTCGAAGTTAAATGTCGTGAAAGACAACTCGTATTACCATATTTTGTTTGAAATTGATCACAAATAGAACATTTTGCTTTATGTTGATTTATTTTTATAAAATGCTGCTAAACAAATCTTTTATTTCGTTGTTGTCTTTCTAAAGACACATTTTCACTATTTACATGCATCGAGTTATAATTATCTTCATCTCTCTATCTTCCTCACTAATATAAGACATTTTAAGGGAACACTGAAGTTATCGATGAATTCATTTCGTATTTCTCAAGCGGTTTCGTTTTTCTTATACAGAATAAAAATTTCTTTTCCAGAATGAAAGGAAAAACACAAATAAATGCGAAGAAGTACAAACCAGTATGAGAATCTCCTAAAAATTTTAAATTATAGTTTTCTGTTATCATGTAGGTTTTTCATCCTTTTTCACATATATATAAACGAATGCAAGCATACATATCCAAACAAAAAGTATTTTCCCGTATTTTACTATAATTTATAAGAATATCATGAGACCTCCAAATTATGATTTTGAATCTTACAAGAGAAATTATATGAGAGTACCCGCACACTTCTAGAAATAAGATTTTTTTATTAATAAAGTTAATTATATCTCCAACATAATAATTATTTAACGAATTAAAATTATGCCAAGACATAATAGAAGTACGGAATTAATTTTATATCTGACATTATAATTAATTTTAATTCTCAGTATATCTAAAAATATGAGTTTTTAATGTAATCAATATCTAACAAATGAGTCATTTTACCTTTTAATAAACAATATTCTGAAGCTATAATAATATTGAGAAACTCAAATTTCTATATGCAAGTTAAAATTATGTTGCGACATAATAATGATTCGACTAACTATAATTATGTCAAGATATATAATCTTACTTTCATTTTAATTTAGACATAATTTTAATTCATTAAATAATTATTATGTTGGAGATATGATAAAAATTTGGATTTATTATGTTGGGATATAATTTTAACTCATATAATGTTATATCTTTATGGATAGCTATAAATCCACACGAAATTATTATTATGTCGCAATATAATAAGAATTCTGTGAATTAAAATTATGTCGAGACGTAACAAAAATATATCATAATTTTTATAATATATTTTTGACGCACATGTAATTATTTTTTAAAAGATTCATATTAGATAAAATTTCTTTTCTGCTATTTGTAAGTGGTTGTTATAAAAATACAAGTCTTTATATGAATACTAACCAAGATTTCGTATTAAACTTATAATTCACTTTTTAGACGCTGTAAAGATTTGCAGTACTTTATAACGAAGTAACGTTTACCTCGCGTGTATCTAACTGAGCACAAGATCGGTGAACAGGACTTATATATGTATATACGTTGCCTGACCAGTGTTCTTGATACAAGTTAAAATCATATTCGACAATTCAGTATCCGCATTGGTCGTTTGCTAGCCCATGCAGAGACTTCGTTGACTCCTTTCATGTTTACCTTCAGTTCAAGGTCACTAATCCTCCATTAATTGAGTCAAGGGTGATGATCTTTCCAACTCTTACCTTGGTCATATAAATATTACGGGATGCATAATGTCTGTCGTAAACTTTGTCATTTTTACGAATGTGATAGACGTATCAGGCATATCAATGTTACATATTGCCAAAAGTGTTCAGTAAACGTCGTTGTATACAATTTAAATATCAAATGCCTTGTACATGCTTGAAAAAAAGTTTAAATTGAGACTAGAATCTAATCAAAAACCCACTTTATTATTCTTACAATTGAATTCACAATCAGTTACACATACGAATAGCATTTGCAATACTGGAACTGTTTTCCGGCTTGCGTATCACGTTTGGCTATAATACAGTCAAAACCGGATTCAGTTCTGGTTAATTCGTGCCAGGTTTCAATCGTGGGCGATTTTATAATTATATCGCGTCTCTCAAGAACGATAGTAATTAATTCAGTGTTCAATCCTTCTCCCCTTCTTTAACATTATTTTACAAATAAGTATTTAAAACACAAATACATAAAAAAATAAATGTAAAAATTTTAACATAATTGATATGCTTTATTTATAGAATTTTTTAAATATTATACTCATCAAAATTTTTATACATATTAGTTAATTAATATATGTATATATCTAAAAAGTATTTTATATAGTATTAATTAGGATTTTATGCTAATTTTCTGAAATTAATTAATTCAATAAAATTACATTAAACTATTCACTTAATGTACAAGTATCTATCACTATATTTGTAATGAATATATTTTAAAAATATATTTGTGTGTGCACGATGTTAAAATAACTTTTTAAAAAATAATTTCATGTATTACTGATACAATTTTATACAATCCTGCATAATTTATTTTATATTCTTCTTGCATATAAAATCGTTTTGTATTTAATTATATATACTTATTATTTTATAAACAAAATTTTTTTAACAAATTGGAGTGAATTTCATAACCGATACAGATGAGAGAATGGAATCATTATTGTCTTATTGAGGTCAATGTTACGGTCTTATAAATAACTACAGCACAGTGGTTGTCCTTGTCAAGTAACGTAGGAAGGTTTCAGGAAGTTACTTACTATTATGGATCCTTATGGATACTATTATGGATATAATCAATCCTGCATAATTTATTTTATATTCTTCTTGCATATAAAATCGTTTTGTATTTAATTATATATACTTATTATTTTATAAACAAAATTTTTTTAACAAATTGGAGTGAATTTCATAACCGATACAGATGAGAGAATGGAATCATTATTGTCTTATTGAGGTCAATGTTACGGTCTTATAAATAACTACAGCACAGTGGTTGTCCTTGTCAAGTAACGTAGGAAGGTTTCAGGAAGTTACTTACTATTATGGATCCTTATGGATACTATTATGGATATAATCATTTTGTAGAATCTGGAATATAACATTATATAAAATCTATTATTTATAAAATTATATTAGATTTGATACATTTGTTGCGTTCCTATAACTACTCACATGCAACTTATAAAGTAAAGTGACCAAACGAACGTTGATATTAATAAAAGACTGAAGAAGAAAGACGAAGGAAAAATGGAAAAATTGATTTGACTTTGATCTGACTTTGGTAGCACCATCCAAGATTAAACTGATAAGATCAGTAACTAGATCATTTTAAACCCTACAACTTTTGTATGAAATGTTTCTCGTAAATACTTATTTTTCAGGATATTTAATGGATCCAGAACTTTTTGAACACCCTGCATATATATATATATATATATATATATATATATATATATATATATATATATATGTATACCAATGTGACTCTATCGGATAAAAAGATAAATTATTAGAAATAGCTTTCGTACTTCATAATTATTTAATTAATTGCCCTCATTTATAAAACGTTTATTATATCATTATAATTATGCAATAATAGTGTTATTATACATATGTAATAAGGCGAAGGGCGCATATTACAACCTTAAACACGAACGAATAATTACTTAATCGTTTTTATATGTTGAATATTCTTTTCAAATTATTACTTTCTTTTTTTATTTATGATAATTACTTTTTAAATGATTCATATCGCTACCAAATTCGCGACGTTACCGCTAGAGCTTTAATTAGAGTTATTTTTCAGGATATTTAGACATCGACAAACTTTAGATTAAAAAATTACTTAAAAATAAAAACCGTAATTTAAAAATCTAAACCACTTTTATAATATAATGTCATCGGTATCTTTTGATTGCGTCCAGTCCGAATAACATTAGTGCAGCCGGTACCGAGATCTAGAGATTGAGTCCTGAAAAGGGCCGTTTAAAGATTTTTTCAGTTGT